CTGAACTAGAATTGTTTTCTTCTTTGTTGTGGAGGGAGAATGAGGCAAATGACTCAGGGATGATCACAGAAACATTAAATCATTCATGCTGGAAGAGACCTCTGTGGGTCTTTTTGGTCCACCATGTTGATGGGTGAGCCAGCATAGCTCATGTTGCTCAGGGCTGTGTCCAAATGAGTTTTGAGTGTCTTCAAGGCTAGAGAATGCACAGCCTCTCTGGGCACCTGTCCCAGGGCCTGACTGCTCTCACAGTGAAGGATTTTTATTTTGTTTCTGATAGGAATATCTCTTGCTGTGATTTCTGTCTGTTGCTTCTTGTCTTCTCTCTGTACCTCTGTAAAGAACCATTCAGACTTGCTTCCTATGCACTCACCCCTTAACTGTCTTGGTGACCCTGACCTGGGCTAACTCCAGTTTATCAGTCTCACTCTTGTATTTGGGGACCCAAAAATAGACATTTTTGCAAGTTCAGAACGGAGCAGAAGAATCACTCTCCTTGATCTGCTGGCCACTTTCTCTGTTGCCTAGTGGACTTTGGTGAAATCATGTGTATCACAGGTGATTCTTGGGAAGTGTTAATTTATTCTGCAGATGTACCATTGTGAGCACTTTCAACAAATATTACCAAAGTAGCTCAGAAATCCACAATTACATGCATCACAAAGACTCCCTTGAATCCAACTCTGTAGTAGATACCAGATGTAAGCTGTTCCTTCTCCATCTTGATTGGAGAAAAATAAAATCATTAATAGGATAGACTATGAAGGAGGATTTATGTTATTTAGCCCTCAGGAACTTAGCCAAGCTGCATTTATTGCTAGGAGTTTTGCAAGGGCACCAGAAGGTACTGTGTTATGAAGAAAAGGATATTTTCCATTTACTGAGCTGTGGCATAAAAATACTTTGTAAGGGGGAGTGGCACACCATCCTTCTGCAGTCTGTCTGTCTGACATAGCTACTGGTTTGTGACCACCTCTAAAGTCCTTGTTACCAGCAAAGGCAAAGTAGATTACATGGGTAAGTCAGGAAGGGGCCTGAGTGTTAAGAGCAACTGTGCCATGCCAGATCAAAGGTCCTTCTGTCACATGTCTCTGACAGCAGAAAATGTCTGATGCTTAGAGAAGGATGATCAGAAAACTACAACTATGACTTCACCCTCTTTTGGGTAGTAACTGGAAAATTGCATTTAATATTATTGCTTTCCTCTGCCAATTTAGGGGCAGAGCTAAGGCGAAAGAAAAAAAAGAACTTTACTAAAAGTAGGTGACGTGGGAGGAGGAGATGAAGCAAGAAGCTGACTGGCTCTTCTGATGTGTGAACATGTGTCAAAGGGTCGTCTAGTAAAAGTAAGACAGGACTTGGAAATTAGTCTAGCTGATCTGCAAACATGGGATACGAACTGCTTCAACTAAAAGGCACCTCATGTTTTGAGAAGTCATTAGTGTGGCTTTTAAAATACTTCTTCCTTGTATCTCTCAATATTTTGCATGTGCTCATGTGTATTTGTGTATTTGTGTATATGTCCGCACATACACATGTGTAATTTTAATCTTTCTCTTATTCTGCTAAGTTTTCCAATGTATCCTTGATAAAGTCAACAGTGTATGTATGTGGCATCTGTAGATAATATTACTCATTTTATACAAGTTTTTTAGGTGCATCTTGTGGTTGAGTTTGCATACAGACGTGCCTAGCTGCAAGGGGAAAAAAAAAGCCTATTATTTAAAAATCCAGCACTAATTTTGCCATGAATGCTTGACTTTACAGGGGAGTTTGACACAGTGCAGAGCCCCTCCACGCCAATCAAAGATCTTGATGAGAGAACATGTAGGAGTTCTGGGTCAAAGTCTCGGGGTAGAGGGCGGAAGAATAATCCATCACCCCCGCCGGACAGTGACTTGGAGGTATGCCTGTGGTAATTGATGGATGGCAATGTGGAGGTTTCTTCTGATTAAAAGTAAATTCTAAAAACTACAGCTGTGGAAATAGCTTAAGGCGTTTTGGAGAACATCATGGACTCTGTCTCACTAACTGAATGTAACAGATTATTAGTTGCTCTTTTAGCGTTACTGTTCTTTCTGGCAAAGTGAGGCAGAAAAGTAAATTATTCAGCCTAGCACTTTTCAGCTCTAAGATTGTGTGTCTCAGTTGCTTATGCAGTAGAACCACAAAATGGTGAGACTTCTGCATTCAGAATTGCCACATATTTTTTTACCTTGTTGAATAGGAAATCTCAGCTTAATTACTGGTATTTTTGAATGCAGTGTAAATATGCAGGATCATCTGGCCACAGCCTTTCCAATCCTTATGTGCAGTTTTGTCCTTGTGCTCATATGTCAGTGGCTTTCAATGAGGCAGCTTACATCAGTGAAGTTATGGCTGTACTTAGGCATGTGCAAGATCAGTGCCTTAGTGAAGAAATATATCTGCCTAATATATGGGGTGACGATTTAAAACACAGGTGACCTCTTAGCAACAGAATAATTATAGTCTTATTACTCTTGTATTAGCAGTGTGTTGCTCTGCAGGGACAGGAGGAGGAGGAGGAAGCAAAGTGCCTGCAGTTGTGTGAAACACTCCAGCTCTGGCATCAGGGGAATGTGGTGGCAGGGTATGTCCCCTGCAGCCACCACGCTGGCACTGGGGGTGTGCAGCCAGGGCCAGCCCCACTGCTCTGCCTTCACTGACCAGCTCTGGTACAGCAGAAAATGAGACTGTTGCTGGGACTTGGCTGGGGTGGCAGGCTGGCCTGCGCTGCTAGGCACTGAACATAAATGTCATTGCTTTTGTACAGATACAACTATTTTTTTTATTTTCAAAGGATTTGACTTTTCCAGAGAAAAGACTCTGACCTTCAGTTTACCAGTGAAAAGAAACCCCTTATTGAGAAAAGCGGTTTCTTTTTGTTTTTATTTTTAGTTAGAATAATCTTGTGTTATCCTACAATATTGTTTAAATTGTGTGTGACATTGGATGTGGCATATGGTACTTTTACCCAAGACTTAGTTTTAGCTATGCAGGAGAAATAAGGAAGAACCTTGAATCAGTAAGACTTGAGAGAATACTGTTTATCCTTAAGTTATGTTTGAGCCCCATCACATTTCTGAAGTCTGTGTTATGCAGCTTTTTGAAAAGCTTTTCAGGGGACAAATAAGCAGTTGAAAAGTTCAAAAGTTACTCTTCTTCTGACTTTTTACCACACTTTTATACACTGTTCTTGCTGATTTTCAGAGAAAACCTGCTGGGTTAAGTGATTTGTTAAACTTTAGGACTGAGTTATTTTTTCACACACCCCCTGTGTGGGATGGTGGTGGGACTTTGATGTTATTTTTTTACTAATACTGTCCCCACTTTTTTTTTTTTTTCCAGCGTGTATTTGTTTGGGATTTGGATGAAACAATCATAGTTTTTCATTCTCTGCTCACAGGATCCTACGCACAGAAGTATGGCAAGGTATGTGAGTCCTGAGTTCTGCGCCCATTCACGGTGTCAGAGCTATCTGGCCTGCATGTGTACGTGTTCTTCACCTTCTGTGTTCATCAAGGTTTGGGTGAAGGTAGAGAAAAAGTGTACAGTAAACCCCATTTTCAGAGAGTTAATGTGAAAAAGTCAAGGAAAGAAATAAGGAACAGACTCTAAGCACAATGTATGAGGCAGGGCAGAAGCAGATGATTTAAACGAGGGAAGAGTTTATAGAGGAACAAGGATGAGATCCTGAGGTATGTTGGAAGAGATGTTGCAGGGAGGAGATAATAAAGCAACGGGCAAATGGAAACAACTACTTGGATGCATACAGGAAGAAATAAGAAATAGACTGGAGTGATGGATGAATTGAGTAAGCAAGTAAGAGACAGATCTGCTTCAACACCAGCTGCAGATGAATTTTCTGACTCCACAGCTTTTCCATTGAATCTTTGGTTCCCTTGGCTGGATCTAGGGTGAGTAATGCTGGGGAGTCAATCTTTCTCCCAAACAGTCAGTGACACTCATCCTCTGCCCTCTAATGAGATCCAAAAGGAGTTCAGGTCATGGAGCAGTGAGCAGGAGAGCAGGGGGAAGAGCAAGGAAGTCAGAGAGGCAACTTCAGCCTTCAGAAGCAGGAGCTCCCCTGCTTAGCCGGCAGTGCTGGGCTGGTGGTGGGAGCCCATGTTCTGGTGCTCAGGCAAGGGGAGAAGGGACTGAGCACAATAGTGTAGCAGCAGGAGTGGACTGCTGGAGCTAAAGGCCTTGATAAAACAAAAAATTTGGGCAAATGTATGAAAGGTAAGAAATTGGACAGGGAAAACAATGGTATGTACATACATGGATGTAGGGTTTCTAGGTGTTGTGCCATTGAAGTGTAATTAATACAAAGGTATTTCTTTTCTAGGACACAGTCAGACAAAGGGCTGGTTTAGCTAACTTTCCTGCCTCTTTATTCCAGCCAGAATCAGATGCTCAAGAAAATGATGTGAGAAACAGTACATTAGAGAAATGCTTTCCACACACACCTCCCCAGCCAGTGGGTTAGAAATGTCCAATGCCAGACTTGTGGATTATGACCACGGATGCACTCCTAACTTCCAATGTTAGGAGACAGCTTTTTCTGGTTACTGAAAGAGAAAGCTAATAGGAAAATTCGTAGGCCCAGACAAAAATCTGAATTTTTGGAATGCTAAGATAGGGGTAGTTATTAGTATCTTGTTAAAATCAGCCTTGCATGTTTTGCAGCTTTACAGTGCCAAATCAGTACACATTTCAGTACTCTGTTGAAAACACCTCTTCTGCTGTTTTTCACACACTGTAACAACAGTGACTTTGTTAGAAACATTTCTAACTTACAAGTATCAAAACAAGAGAGAAATGTACATGAACATTTATATCACTTTTGAGTGTAGCCCATAGAGTGCCACAGAACTTGCTGAATTGCCCCAGCAATGTAGTCATTCCTTTAATCCTTCTTTGATTGTGCCCTTAGGATGTTTACATCTCATGTGCCATCTCACATAATATATGATAAAGTCCAAGTCAACTGTTACACAAAGTTTTAAAAATCAGATCACATTTTACAGCTCATGAACATCTGTGAATAACGTTGTTTTAAAAATCAGATCACATTTTACAGCTCACAAACATCTGTGAATAACTTTGAAAACTGTCTTAGAGACAGCAATAGGAATGTAATTCCTTTTGGTCTCTCTCTTTGTTATGAGTAGGGATATTTCAAAAAATCCCAGTACCACTGTTCTTTAAGAGCACATCTGCTGCTATAATTAACTCTCCATACAGTCTTTAGGAACAGTAATGGCATATTAACAGCTAGTAGTTCTGACAGCAGATGAAGTGGCCTTGTATAAATCAAGAGTATCTCAAGGGCAAGTGAAATTAATGTAGTTATACTGCTGAGATCAGAATCTGTAAACAAATGTCATGAAAAACCATGAAGCAAAATGAGCAGAATTCTTAAGTAAAATCCTTTTACTTTTGTACTGATAGGTGGCATCCATACTAGAAATGTGGTCCTTTTCTAGAGACTATAAAATAAAAATAGTAGATTTTTTCCTTCCTACAGTGACTACCGTATTTATAGAGAACTCATTGGGAAGGTAATGAGTAATTGCCAATGAAACTCAAATGTATATATTGTCAACTACAAGAAGGACAGAGCAGTAGGAAAGGGAATACAGGGAGAGCTTATAAGGTGTAGGTTTTAGGTTTTGCATGTCATTGAAATGTTGCCTTAATTTAAGATTGGATGTGTCTAAGCCTAAGTGCCCAAGAGGCTGGACATAGGAGAAGGGAAAGACAGCACAGCTGGACCTCAGTCAGTCTCTGGTGCATGACCTCTTTAGCAGGTGTGGTCCTTTTCTGCATATGATTTCCATCTGTAGACTGAAGTCTGAATTGTTAGGAGCTAGCAGGAATATACAGGCAGGTAAGGATATTCACTTTCAGTCCTTTCCCATTTATTCCATGACATGTAAACTCTCATTCCCCTTTTCCACTTGCTCTTTATTCTATTTCTCACAGTAACTGGGTGAAAACAAAACATTGGGAAATGAGTCTTTTAATCTCTCTGCTCTGCTGCAATCCAGGCTGCCCAGGGAATGCAGTGAGGGGAGATGCAGCATGTGGAAATGGCTGTCACGCTGTTGTTGCCAGGTGAAGGGACCAATGTACAAGTGCAGGAGCACTTGAGAGCTGCAGTGGTACCAGAAGACAAATAGTTTCTCTTTCAAAAGATTTCTACAGTTTAACAAGTGGTTGAAGTAAAAAAGAAAAAGGAACCGCAAACCAGGATTCCCATAGAGAAAGGGGAGATTTGTTGGCAGATCTTGTGTGGCAAGGCCTAGATCCAGTAGGCAAGTTTCAGGTCATATATTTGTCAAGAGAATAACAGATTTCTGACTAATGAATGGACAATCTCCTTGGTATATACTTGTCCATGGTTTGCTTGGTTTGATAATTATTTGATTCCAGAATTATATAAAGCTGTTGTAATACCATGTCAAAAACAAAACTATGGATTTGCTGAAATATTTAACTTGCTGGAAGCATCTTTAAGCATCTCATTTAAACACAGGGCAAATTGCTGTTTCTCATCTGGGCACCAGTAGAGTATAGCTTTGAACTCCACTGAAGTGACAGAGATTTGGCCAGAAGTCAGTCAATACATCACTCTGATATTTAAAATACAGCACTTACCTAGAGAAATATTATGTGGCTTGCTGTTTTCTACCTGGTTTCTGTCTGCCTTTTGGTGTATTGGTTATTTTATTGGGCTGGTCATGACTAATATAAAAAGAGGATAAAAACCACACTACACCTCTGTTAGGTGTCAGGGAAAACATTCTGCCCCTCAGCAGTAAGAGTTCCTCTGGTTGTTCAGCTTATTTGCTCATCTGCTTCGTAAAACTAGCACATTTCTATTTTTAATTATTTACTGCAGTAGCAAATTATGAACATTGGCATTTGAGCTGTTACATTATGACTTGTGTGGCTGATGATGGTTTTTGCAGCTGAGCACCAGTTGGCAGATACAGTTTTCTACAGTGCTGAGCTCTTAAGTGAGGATTTGTTGATGTGACAGGACATGTGTTAGGAGATGTCATCATCTGTTAGAAGTTTATGAGGTACATTCTTATTCCCTGTGAACAGTGTATATTCTTTATTCCATTCCATTCCAATTATTCTTGCTGATTTAATGTTGATTAAGCTGGAGTTTTGTCTACCTCTGCACATTTATATTTAAGTAATTTCTCCCAGGTCAATCTAGAGGGCAAGAATGCCCAGATAAATTCTGTGATTCAAGGAGCAACTGGTTAAAAATAAATAAATAAATAAATAAATTAAAGTCCCTTGTGACCTTAGAAAGGGGAGAGCATGATTTCCAAGTGCAAAAATCAAAACAAATCCACACTTGATGGCCACATTTGGACACTTTTTTATAGCATTGCCAATGACAGAAGGTTTTGGGGGAGGCCACATTAACTTTCTACACTTCTCTGGAAGGGGTTCATAAGCTTTTTACTGCTCACTCTGTGCTTATCCAGTCATTAAAAAGAAAAAACTTTATCACCATTAGCACCATTATGACATTCCCAAATTCACTCATAAATTTGCTTTTGCCTGCTGATACTAAAAGTGTATCTCTCATGACCTCTATTGGTACTTAAATGTTTCCACATTTTCCACAGTTTGCTTTTGTTGTAAGTCTTTTCAGGACAGTGACCCATTAAAAATCTATTCTTACAATTGTTTTTCCATTAAATTAAACATTTTTTAGCATCTTGTGCTGAAACTTGACCTTTCAAGAGAACATTAAATAGTTATCTTCCACTAATGGATACTGAGATTTGGGGGCTTTATTCCAGTCACTTTCCTCTTGGCCAAAACATTTAACTCTTGGTGCTCCCAAGGTATTTTTACCTAGTCTCTCAGGAGGCATTCCAGTGGATGGACCAGTCTAGTACAGAATTCCACAGACAGACAGTCTGGCTCCAGTTTAGTGCCTTCCTACTAAAATAACTAATTTGCATTTTGGTGCTACAGAAGTGCTGTAGCTGCTCTTGACTCTTTTGCGTGCTGATGATATCTGGCTAAAATCATGCCTCTGAGGGCCAAAAAGTTGTGCTTCTTTATTCTGCAAATTATCTGGGGAAAAATTCCAGAGTTGTGTTGTGTTTTTTTTCTTTATGATTGTTTCCTCTTTTGTGTATGCTTGTGCAGAGTAGCACAAAATACCATTTTGGCAGAAGTTCAGTCTGCCTTTTATTCAGCTTCTCAATTTGCTGTGCTCAAATCTGTATCAGCTGTACATGTTTCTTGCTTTCTTTTCAACACTCAGTTCTTTGTGCCACTTAAGTCAGTCTGCAACTTCTGCTTCAAGTTGAAAGACAGTAAAATGTTGATTGGGATGTTTCTCCATATTGTGTAAACATTATAAAACCACAAGACCCTGGCAAATCCACTTTGTCTGTCTATTTTTGAATGTGAAGGAATGAACTTAACATGGCAAGAGCTGGAACATGATGTTTAATTCTTGTTAAACAGTTGTAATGCAAGTTTTGGCCAATTTATTCAAGGAAGAATTGTTCGTGTCTTGAGAATTTAATTCCAATGACTCTTCTTAGCAGAAATTGTTATGCAGAGATCCCAGATTAATTTCATGCTAAGCTGAAATTAATTATTGCTTTATTTTATTTTACTTCTAGTAGCTAGCAATATCCTACAGGGGTCTTTGTCAAAACAGAAACATAGGAAATCACATTTTAACAGTAAGGAAGTCAGGCATAGTTAGTTACAAAAATGCTACTAATGAGAAAGTCATAAAAGCTTTGTCACATTTATGTCTTTCAACTATACTTGGCAAGGCAGGAAATTGTGATACATAGTTGGTAGTTTCTGTAGAAATAAATTGGATTATAATGGAATATGTTATAGCAAATTTCCGCATTTAAGTCTGCTTCTACCCAGGAAGGGGAAAAAAGAGGCTGAGAAACAAAAGTCTGAGATTCCAGTCTTGGAAGCATTCCACTGAATAACTTAACTCACATAAATAATAATGAGTTACCACCTGTGCATAAAGTTATGCACATGCCTTAGTGTTTGTAGGATTAATGTTAGGAAGTGTAGTGCAAATACTCCTTCTTATATTGTATCTAGGAAGAAAAAAATTGTAATTTACTGTGCACAGGAAAAAAAATGCTAGAGAAACGAGGGAAACACATGTTTATATGTGATGACATTTTGATAAAAACATTATGGCTTGATGAGCAATCTCATGAGTCCAGAGTATTTTGGTGATTTGTGTTCTAAATTCTTACATGAATTTTTTACAAATATGTTAATGTGTGTTCCTTAATTATCCCCTTGGAAAACTGACCTTTGCACTGGCTGCTGCCTTCAGTCATGTGACCTTCAGATCTGGGGAACATGACTGCAGAGGACGCAGGGGCTGAATTCATGTTGCTAAGCACTGCTTTTGCTTTTGACATCTGAAAAGTAGTCTAGACCAGGCCAAGGGTCAGTATAAAAATATTTCCTTTCACTGACAAAGAATAGGGTCTAACTTTGGATCATTACAATTTCTTGCACACTCTTTTCCCCTTCAAGTCTGACTTTTTCATGAGCAAGGGTCAAAATATGTCTCTGTTTCAAATTTTACTATTATCTTTTAAGCACTTGAGGGCAGAAGCCATCTTTTTTTTCTGTTGTTACCAAGCCCTGGAGTAGCAAATGTCTGATCCTGATTGGCCTTTGATCCTAATGCTAACAAATGATCATTTGAGGTTTTGTGTAATTTTGTTGCCAGATGCTGGTAAACTTTTAGACTTGTAATCTCAAGGTATTTAGTGAGGGATTTCTGAAAACTTGCTAGTGTCAATCAGAGTTTAAATGGTGAAATACAGACTTTTTTTTTCTTAATGAGGAGAGGATCACGTCGATTTTAAAAGTCCATTGCAGTACATTAAGCATAAAAACATGAACTGAACCCTATAAACTCAGGCAGATTATTAAGACAATGATAAATCTAGTACCAGGCTTCAGCTAAGCATCAGGAACTGTCTGTGGGCATTCTTACTCTAAAACAAAAGTAAGGTAATGCAAAATAAAAATTAATTCTTTCACATTTACTGTACACTAAATACTCTCAGACAGTGTTGCTGCAGATCAGTAGATTTGTGGTATCTTGCTGAGGCAGAGTGATTTAATAGTGTGAAAACTGACCTGTGAACAGATGCAACATTCTGAATGAATCTCATTCAGAGACAGGAATCCAGTGTTTCATCAGAAATGATGGGAAGATCTGTAGCAAACAAACCAACTTACATATGCTTTCCCATTCCTGCGGACCACCTGAAGAGTTGTGCCATAGCTTGTAGACACGGTGAAAAGCACTGAGAAGAACACTTATAGGCACCTTGTTGAATGAATACCTGCAATAAAATCATAAAGGAGAGCCTGGAAATTCACCAGTGAGTGCCTGCATGGAAGAAGGGAAAATATTAAGATGGATAAGGACCAAGCACAGGGTTTGAGGATGCCTACTGGAGCAGCAGAAAGTTTGGGAAAAAAGTTATACAAGCCTAAGCATAGGCAAAGCAGTGATGATTTATTTATCCAAGGTTTGGGAAAGTGGGCGTAGGTTCAAGACTACCTTTGTATTTTTATAAAGAAGAGACATTAGACATGTAAAAGACCTCTTATATCACACCTTCCTATCACAGTGTGGGGTAATTGCTTACAAAATGATAATTTTGTAGAGATGGCTACTTTTCCGAGTCTGGTTTAACATGACCTTGGTGAGCACTTTGTGTGCCCAAAAGTTGGGGAAAAAAGCCAAGAGATCATAGGAACTGTGCAGTGGACCTGGTGTTCCATGCAGTAATTCCTGCTTCTGTTGCTGACTCAAGTGCATTGGGTCAGAAAATTAAGTTACTGCTCCATAACTCAAGCTTTTTTCTGCCCTCAGATTGTCAGACAAAATACTTAACATTTTTCTATAAAAGGCTCAGGTATTAAAAATGTTATGTATTCTTATTTTAATAAATACTGGCTTTCATATATATATACATCTTCTTTGAGAAGTTCCTCCCCTGTTTACGGCCTTCTTTATGCAGATTTACATATGGCCACCAAGTTTTCCTCTGTTTAGCTAGGGAACAAATGCCTTGACTTTCAAAAAACTTGATGTTTCAACGCCCCCAGCTCCCCAGATGTTCTCACACAGGTTCGGAAGTCTCTTTTTGCAGGGATATATTAAAATAGCTCCATAGTGAAAGGATTTTAAAGAAATTCTGAAGGTGTTAATTTTTCAAAACACTTTGAATACCATAGTTTTTAAAGTAATTCTGATATAACTGAAAGATACTTGAGTAGCTAACTTTTCTTTCTGTTTTTTTAAGGATCCACCAATGGCAGTGACCCTTGGACTGCGAATGGAAGAAATGATTTTTAATCTTGCTGACACACATTTATTTTTTAACGATTTGGAGGTAAGAATCAAAGGAACAGAAGCACCATTACACTTGGGTTTTTTACATAGTGGTTTTGCTGTTCACGCAGTGTTTGTTGCGTGTGACCTTTTATGCCTATCTAGACATGGGGTTTGTCATACTCTAATCAGAGAGAGGTTAATCAAGTGGCAGTGGCTTCCTATGGCACCAGAGTCCTTCTGTGAAGCTGGGTGAAAGAGGGAATCTGCAAACTACCCTTTCTTCTCTTTGTCTTATGGCCGTGTTTTATTTTTCCATGGACTTGGAACTGTCTGCAGTAATTTCCAGGAGGGGGACTCATGTGCCTCCCACGCATTCTCTTGAAGTAGTTTTTTGGCAACCAGGCCCTTTTCCTTGCTCAAAGGTAGAATATTCTTCATTTACCTCAATTACTGCAGCATCAGGGAACTGTGACTATGATAGATGTACTTGTCAGTGATGTCTGTTCCCCAGGTAACCAGGTGACCACATGCTTTGTCATGTTGTACCCAGGCTGTAAAATTTGGCATCCTGTCAGAAAAGGGAGAGACCTCTTCCTAGGGAGTGACCGCTGTGGATCACTCACCTGTCAGAAGCATCCAGATGGACTGCTGCAGGGAATGGGAAGAAGGATGGTCAGCTGGGCTCCACAAACTCTTCATTTCAGTCTGGGAGTCCAGATCTGTTAACATGGAAAGTGACAGTCTTACAACCATGTGTGTCAAGAGACAGGGGTGAAAATGAATTAATTGAGTTTTCATACCTTCCCCTGGTCTAAGTCAGTTGTTTTCTAACTCAGACTGGATCCCAGAATTCCCTCTTTGGACAGATATTTTGCCACTAATGGCAGTTGGAAGACTTTGAGGTTTCATTTAAAATGCCAGAGAAAGGTCTCTGATAAGTGAGTAGAAAAAAAATAGGATAAGTGAGATTTTTCCATTCAATGGAACATGGATTTTTCTAGTGTGCACTTACTTTATTCCTTTATTCCTTGCCAACTGCAAACAAAAAGAAAAGCAGAAAGTACTAGGCTGGGGTTGTCTTTTTTGTACCATGTAGACCTCATTTATTCTTGGCTTTTAAGTCAAGAAACTGGGATCTACTTCACACTGGACCTGAGCCGCACATCCTCCTTCCAGCAGCACAAATGTAAATTAAAGCCCTGGACAGATGTTTGCCAGTCAGTGCTTCATTCCAGCCCAGGAGAGTCATCACTTGACAATGCAGGTGCAGTTGGTGAATGTTCTTTTTCTGGTGCCCCATACATAGAATAGATTCCAAAACAATTTTTTAAAGCTTCACTTAAATTGCTTTTTAGCAGACCTGTGCCCCTGAGTGTTCAGATTTCATGTGGCACCCAATGAATTTTAAGCTAATTCTGTGGCATAGACGCAGAGTTCTTCAAGCTTATGCTGAGTGCAAGTGGAAGAGTTCAGCAAAATGGAGCTTTGCTCTCTTTCCATGCCATTTTATTCTTGCTTATGGCCACTGAAGCTTCATTCTTTTCTCTTGTTATTTATTTTCTTTGTAGATCTCGGGTTCAGCTGTCATAGGTGAATCAACACATTTTATCTGTTCTTCTTAGGGTGGTTTTAATATCCTGTCCAAATATTTGTGCTCCAGCTCATTCCAAGCTTGAACAATATCCAGTTTTCAGTTTTAGATAAATCAAAAAATACTACTTGGGGACTCTCTTGGAGAACCTCAGAACTCAATTTGATTAGCTTAAAACCAGTTTCTATATGCAATTAAGTGTTTTCTAGCCCAGAATTCATCTTTGTTTCAAAATCAAAATTCCAAATTTCTTGTTCTGAAATGAGCTGTGTGTACACATTCTGACATAAACAAGAAGAGGAACAATTTTCTGTCTTCTTAGCAAATAAGATATAATCGCATGCCATCTTGTGCCAAAGTACATAGACCCATGCTTTAATATGCAGATGAATAAATCTGTCTGTTTAAATATATTTGCAGAGTGCATGGCCATTACTGAATATTACATCATAGTGCATCTGTGTGATGATTTTGTAATGAATTCTGAGAAATCACCAGTTCTGACTTGTGGTCTCTCATGTCCCCCCCTCTCTCCATCTTTCTTTCTCTGCCTTCTTCTCTCCGTCCTCCCCCAGGAGAGTGGAGGTGAGTGCTGACCTGCTGGTGGCCATGGCCATCAACACACAAGACCTTCAGTTCTTACTGAAGGAAGTGAGATAGGCCTTTACTCACTAGACAGATTACTTTTCCTTTCATCATCTCACTTTTTCAATGCAGAGCCATCAGGTCCCATTCCTTCTGTTTTGCTTTCATCTTCATCCCACTATAAACCTTGTGACTCTGGACGTGACAACTGCAATGTGCTAAAGAATCTCTATTCCTGTAATACTGACTCCAGTCACTACCTCCTCTAAGCTTTCTTTTTTCCCTGTCTTTCTTGGTTGCAAACATTGCATACCGAGGTCTAGTAATAATAACCAAGTTATTGAAAGCTATCACATACAAAAACAAAGTTTTCCTTCCTCTATGCAAATCTCTCTCACTACGATGACTGCTGATGCAGAAATTCCGATCTGCTGAGACATTCCCTGCTGACCCAGTAACCCATGTTCTAATCAGCCAAGCTGCACTTTTATTCCAGCCTAGGCTGATCTCCAGCTATTTCATTCTCAGTGTATAAATTTTAGTCAGCTTGAAAAGTATCGCGTGGGAGGGCAGTTGGTGTTTTGCCATGAAAATAGGAGTCTGGTGCTCTTGAAAGTTCATGCGCCTAAACAATATTAGAGATGGAACTCAGTTCTATAATAATATCCAGACTAATGCATACTATCCTCAACCAGGTAAGTAATAAATTGAAGATTTTCTCCCTATCTCAGTATTAATTCTAAGTCAGCTTTTAAAACTGTTGGTAGGGCATATTATATGTGCAAAAACCCCCCTCAGTTTCTACAAATTGCAAGCAGGAATTTGGATGTGAATCTTCCAACTCCATTATCCTCCTCCATTCCCAGAATGATGAAAAAAAAAAAAAAGGTATTTCTTTCAAGCAAACTGAATTACATTTCCATTTTTATGATAATCCTACCATATTTTAAGTAACATTTTGTCATAATTGTTGTCTATTAGAAATGGAAATGGGAAATAATAAATAGGATTTAGATAAGTCTCAGAATTTGGGAGACAGGTCAAACTAGTTTTAACAGAGACTAAAGGAAATACACAAAAAGGGGTGTTCTGTATAGCCTGAGAAAGCATAGTGCTGAATATCCCCTCTGTAATAACATTTCTGTGTTCAGTCTGTTGAGCCAGTGTTTTTACTGGATAATGAAATTACTGTTGATTCCAGGAGGGTAATTTTTATGGATGATTTGTTGATTCTGTACTCTCAAATTTTTATGCTCTAAAAATTGCTGCTGAGAATTAACTGCACTTAGCTATAATTTAGATCAGTATTGCTTCAAGCAAAAGCCAGTTATTGTACCTAGTTTCCATTCCTGTACTCTCAGTAATAGGAAATCTATTATCTCTTTCTTAGTTTTGACTTTGCAGTGACTGTGCCACTGTGACTTGAGTGGAGCAAGTACTGTAGCTCATGTGAAAAGTATTGAACCTTAGTATTCAAAGTGTCAGAAGGGTTGCTTGCTTTCTTTCCTTCTTCCCTGCAATGGCTTGGCCTCTTTAACAAGCAAGCTCACATCTAGTGTTGTGCCACCAGTTCCCTCTTTCTTTTGGGAGAAGAATTTGCTCAGACCATCTGCTTTTTCCTTTTGCACACCATGTAAGTGAATTTGTAAAATGTAAACATCTTAAGTTGAAGCAGATCAGTAAATGAGAAAAGAAATTAAAATGCAGTAAGCCTTGGTGGGCATATGAGTTTGTTGTCAGCAAATGTATATGGCCAGTATGATGAGGAGGTGAGCTAGAGCTCCGAGAGGAGAAGAGAAGGGGGAAAAGGAGGAGGCTGGAGAGTGTTGTTGGGTTTGATCCCCCTCTGAGACTGGAAACTTAACAACCTTCTTGCAGGGACAAGGAGCAAGTAATCAGAAAACTGCAAGTTGCCCTCAACTCCTGTTCCTGGAGTCAATGAAAAAAAGTGAGATTAAAAAATAAAAGTAAACAGCTGAGCCTTTGCCACCCACTCATATTTAATTTAATAATGAAATTACCAGCAGAACAGTTACCTGGAATTTTCAAGGCTGTACCAATGTAGCTGAAAGGCTTAACAAAACCCAAACACAGCAGACACTTCTTATCCATCAGGGCTTCTGTGTTCCCTGAATTTAATTAGTACACCTTCAAATCCACAAGACTGATTTTTAAAATGATCTTATGCTTTGACTAGTTCCTGGGATATCTGTGAAGGTGATTAGGAAGCCAGATATTGCTCAGATATTGCAAAATACAGAGTTAGAATTTGTCGCAGTGGGGCTTTCTGTACGTTTTTTCTAGTTCCTGTCCTATACTGGGTCAAGTATAGTTGCATTTTTTTTCCAGAGCGTAAATAATAAATAGGGATAAAGAAGTTAATCTTTTCTTTCAGCTGCCACTTCCACTTTTCTCTCTCTTTTCATCTGCTATTTATCCTGAAAGCATCTTCTTTAAAATACTATACAGGTGAAGATAATCTCTTTAGGCAGAAACAAAAAAAAAATTTGTTTCTCCAGTGGGGAGAAGGTTTCATTTCACTTCTTTGAATGCAGCTCTTTCATGGCTGTCTTAATGGATTAAGCCAGATGAGCAGATTTTGGGCACTTGTTCTTTTAGTCTTGACACAAAATTCTAAATTATGATTGCTTATATGGTGCAATGAAATTACGTATTTGAAAATGAAATTATATGTATTTTTTTAATACAAAAATGCTAATTTATTTTTTAACAACTTAATATAGGTAAAAGTCTCTTATGTTTTCATTCAGTGCAAAGCAAAGCAAACAGAAAAAAGAAACAGTAATTGCCCGACTTTCCACTCTAGGAACTTGTGGCATATACATTTGGAAATGATTCCTCAGTTCAGATTTATCCATTATCTGGACAGCTTAGCACTGGTACATGACTTGAGATCAGAAACTTAGAGCTGTGTACTCTCCTGCATGTCACAGAGAGTCTGAATTAAGTGCTGCTTGTCAGAAACTTTATTTGAAGTAAGTGACTCAGACAACTCTTTATTTGAGGCACAGAACTGTGCATTTTGAAAGCTCAGCCTCATTTTGTCTTACTGATGAGATTGTATTACCTGAAAACATTACTTAGGGAGTAATTTTTAAATACATTCTTGATTTTTTTTGTAAATTACATTAGGATTATGTTAACAACAGCTACTTTAAATACTAAAAAATTACTTGCATTCAGGAAAGTAAACTCTCCAGACACTGAATTTCAGGTGTGTCTTTGGATTAAGATGTTCATTGTAGCAACTACAGAAGACAGTAATACAGTGCCTGGTCATAATTACTGTTACATGGTGGCTTGAGTTAGATTTATTTCTGCTTCTTCTACCTTTTTCTCTGTGCTGAAAAGGGTATTTGATCCAGTTATAAAACCAGCTTGGAGAGAAGTTCAGTATTCCAGTATACCTCAGTTCCCTGCAGTTGCTTCCATCCCTTCTGAAAGTAGAAAATAATTAAATTCTCCAGGACTGCTTATCTGATTTTCCAGCCTAAGGCATTTGGATAAATCAAGAAAATAATCTGATAAGCATCCAAACTTCTAGACACTTTACAGAGATTACATGCCTGTGAAGGTTCATCATCATTATTTTCCAGGCATTGGGGAAATAAGGTTTAGGTGATTTTGGAACATCAGTATGATAGAGACTAAAGATGAGACTTGTTAGACTTGGCTTTTTTCAATTAAAAGAATTTTAATCTAAAATCACACTAAAATTACATATCTCTTTTCTAAAGGCCTATTTCAATTAATAAGTCATACAGTGTAGAAGGAGTAGAAGGTTGTATTCTTTTAAAGAAATTGGTGGCAATAGGAAGCTGTAAGTGTACATACGCTGCCATCTTCTGGTGCACTTAGTGGCCTGCACCGATCATTTCTTCAATTTACGTGCTAAGCATATGGAGAGCACACTTTTACAAGATAATGTATAATTTGATTTCATTTTTTTTCAACAGGAGTGTGATCAAGTTCATATAGATGATGTGTCTTCTGATGATAATGGACAAGACCTAAGGTAAGATAGAGTATTTGTTGTTTTGTTGTCTTTTTTTTTCTTCAAAGATTAAATAAATTGAGCATTTACAGGAATACATTGTATTTATTTTTACTGTATTTTGGGTGTTTGCAGTACCTACAGTTTTGCAACTGATGGCTTCCATGCAGCTGCAAGTAGTGCAAACCTTTGTCTGCCAACAGGTGTAAGAGGAGGGGTTGACTGGATGAGGAAGCTGGCTTTCCGTTACAGAAGAGTAAAAGAGTTGTATAATACTTACAAGAACAACATAGGAGGTGAGTTTAATTGTCAAAACTAATTTAGAATGCTGATCCGGTTAAACTGCATGGCAATGAGCTCCCACTGAGGGAATGTGCCTCAGAAGGCACAGAATGAATGGAAAGTGATGTGACTGGAACTTGAGGTACTGAAAGCTGCCAGCTGTCATGGCAGAGCCAGCACTGTGCTGTTGTGCAGGACAACCAGAGGTGGGGAAACAGATCAGGCTTCTGTTTAGCTTCCCCAGAGCCTCTGTTTCTCCTTCAGACCCAGTTTGGCTACACCTACCTTGTTGATTTTTTGAGCCTCTTATTCTGCCTCAAATATGCTGTTATTCCAGGAAAGAGGTTGTGTAGCTTCCACAAACTGATTGTGGATGGCCTATTTCATCCTACATTTTCATTACATGGTTGGTAACCACACACTGTCTGCTAAATTCCCTGCCAGGTACCTGCTGGTCTGTTTTCACCAGTGAATGCAAGGAAACCCCAATACTGCCATTCCACCAGCCCCTTCTGTTGACTCTGTAGCTTACACAGTTAAATGTGTTAGCAAGAAATCCACATTTGTTTGGGCTGAGAGCTTTCTTGTTCCTGTTGGCAGTTATGGACTTGCTCATGTCCATGTCAGCAAGCTTGTAGGAAATCAAGAAGCAGAACTGAAAGGATCTGTTTTGGAGGGGTCTGTGTGACTTGCAGAGGCAGCCAGCCCTCTTCTGAGGTGGGGAATATGTCAGCTGACTCCCTCAAGAAGAGCTTGGGAGAACAGGGAATACTTACAAGTCTTCAAGCATTGCTGCAACCACAGTTGAGGATAAGATGAGGCTAACCCAGCCAGGAAGGAGCCCAAGTGAACACTCTGCCATTCTATAGCATGGGCTTTTTCAACTCATCTGAAATGTATTTCAAAGGAACCTGAACTTCAAATTAGAGATGACCTTCAGCAGAACCAGACAGTTTCATGTTGTTTTAGCACTTTTGCAATCTCTCAGAAATGGGAAACAATACAACTAATACAGACAGTGAATAAGTTGTTACCTTAATGATTTTCTAAATTATTTAAGTCTGGGATATATCTTTTCACTTTTAGTATTTCAGTCTTTACTTGCCACAGGAAGAAGCAACAGGACCAAAGGGATAGTACATGGTTGGCTTTCACTTGACCTGCTTTGCCCTTTGTTGATATCATTAATGGATTTTTTATATATCAATAATACTTGAAACAGTATTATCCAAAAGTTTACTGGGTTTTCTTACATCTCCTAATACATTTAAGATTCTAAAGCTGCTGTGTTTCATAAAGCCTTTAATATTAGCAAGAAATGAAGTCCAAGAGCACAGCACAGGGACGTAAACTAAGAACAATCATTGCAGATTGCAGACGTAGGGTGTCTTGTATTATGGTTTTTATTCTTTCTCACAAATCCTGCTTATGAAATATTTTCCACCCTAGTTGGTATCCATCCCCTAGTTCTTAGCTGTTTTAGTAAACATTTTATCACATATGCATCTATTTATTTAAAAATAGCTGTTAAAAGGCAATAGAAGGCTAGAGCAAACTATGTCTTTTTAGGTTGCTTCATTTCAGATTTTTTAAGATAGTCACCACCAATTCTTGGGAACATGGGGTTTGAAAGAGAAGAGGGATACTAAAGGCCATGAAACCTGCTTTCTACCTCTCCCAGGACCAAATCTAAAGTTAAATTAGCTGGTTCCAAAGATCTCATGTCTCAACATACAGCAGGCTGGGTAATTTTAAAAATCTGACCATTCATAACCTCTTCTTTTGCGAGTGTCTCTGCCTGTGATCCCAATGGCATGGATCTGATCTCCTTGTCAGTGGCTCTGATAATGAAAGAGTTAAGATGTGTGTGAGGAGTTGGTTTAAAAAAATGTATTTCTGAAAGATATGCTTTGAAATATAGTAAAGTAGCCTGAATAAACAAACAAAAAAACCCAGATTATTTCTTATTATTATCTGCAATACACTGTGATATCACTTGATATAGTGGAGTGCAAACAAAAGAAGAACAATATATTGACATTTGGAGACAGTAGATTTTGACTTGGACATTTTTTCAAGTTCTTGTGGAATTTAAAATAGGATGATCATAAAATCTATACATTCCAGTTAATACAGATTTTAATTTGTGGTTGTTGTTTTTTTTTTCCTCTTTTCTTGCTTTTTTACATAAAAGGACTCCTGGGTCCTGCTAAAAGAGATGCATGGTTGCAATTAAGAGCAGAGATTGAAGCTCTAACAGACTCCTGGCTAACAAATGCACTTAAATCATTATCAATTATCAGCACAAGGTACGTATTTGAATCTACTGTAAAAAAAAGTTTCTAATTTTGGATTTGTAATGGCTATACCTGATAGTATGAATTGTCTTCTAAAATGTGATAAATGTTCCCATGTACATTGAAAGTGTGTTGTAGAATTTTGACCCAGCCTTTAATTTATTATCTTCTGGGCAGCATTCTCTGAACACCTGATCTCTCAGTTCTGTCCTTCAGTGTTCGAGCCTATTCATAGTGCTACCTAAATACTGTGTAAGTCCCAGGACACAAAAATATTTTCCTTCTGTCCTTCCAGACAAATCAGTATGCTTAAGCATATGTGTAAGAGCAAAAATCTGTTTTAACTTAATTACATTTTGGGTTCCCAGTAATAAGACATAAAATATATTGTTCCTTTGAAATAATAAAACTGTGAACACTGATGCTGCTTAGTCAGACAAGTAATGTGTATCTCATCAGAAATCCTAAAAAATTCTGGTTTAAAACCATAATAAAGAACCATGCTAAGCCTTCTTGCCTTCTGAATGTGTCTGATAAAAGACTCAGAATCAAGTGGAAAGAACAAACTTGGAAAGATGTGAAAAACTTATTTTAAATGTAAAAACTTTTGCAATACATTTATATCTTAATTGTTTATTTAACAGTGTCTTAAGTACCTCATGAGAAAAAACAAAACAACAGTAAAAAAAAAACCTGTGCAAGCCATTGTGTTTATCTCTGCATTTCTTTCCAAATTGCTAGTCTTCAAAAAGACATTTGGTAATAAAGGCCAGTTGAGCATTGGTGGACGAGTCTACAAAACTCTGACCAGTTACTCAGTTCTGTTAAACCACAGTCTTTTTTCTTGTCTTCAAAGAACTGTGCAGCTATAAATCCCCAGAAGCTACCCATGAGGCAGCTGAACATTGCCTGTATGTTACTAACAGGAAATTAAGATACATTAGGGCAGAAATAGAAGCCTGAGGTCTTGCTTGGAATTTGTGGAAGAGCCAGAAGGAAAAATCACAACTATTTGCTCTCAGCTCTATGTTCACATGCTCATGTTCAGTCTGTCAGTGCCTATAGCAGCCTGGCACTGGGTTTTCTGTTGTGTAACTGGTGGCACAACTTCTCCATGCAGCTGTCATCCTCACCATTCGCCACTAGCTTATTAACATGGTTATTCTTATCTCTCTTAGAAATATTCTTATCTTGAACCATGAAGGAAGTGATGTCATTGTGCAGAAATGTGCATTCATTGTTTATTGCCCCTCAAGACAACAGAAACAAATGAAGTTTTTTGCATTCTTCTACCTCTTTGATTTGGCTGGTAACCACAGCTGATTAATTGCCAGCGTGAAAATGAAAATGATGCTTTCAAAGCATTTGAATGCCTATTTTTGGAGGTGGTTGGTGACCTTCAATGCCTGTATTTTAGTGGACCCATCTTCAAGGACCTGTTTTTTCATACACCAGTGTGCAATATTTCCTACAAATCAGGCCTCCATACTTTTTTAAAGGATTCTGCCAAAAGTTTTATGTACATTTTCTTGGAAGTGATGGTACTGAGCAGCACTGCTGTGTGAGTGAAAGTAAACGTTGAGGAATTCTGATTATGTTCTCCACAGCTGGTTTACCTCATCAGCATCTGTGTAATGGTTTTAAACTATTTCTCTCATTTTAGGAGTAACTGTGTAAACGTGTTGGTAACAACAACCCAGCTTATCCCAGCACTTGCGAAAGTTCTACTGTACAGCTTAGGAGGAGCTTTTCCTATTGAAAACATTTACAGCGCAACCAAAATAGGTAAGAAAGTTATTCTTTAATCCATTCTGACTACACTGCATTACCAATATGTTTTTGCCAGTAATAGATGGATTCTAAGCCATTTCTCTGACAGTAACAGTGACAGTTACAAGATTTAGGCATTGCACATGTTCAGGCCACTGCTTCACCAGCTTTTGCTGGAATTGCAGTACATCAGTGATGGTGATGACAAGCTGTGTTGAGGGACAATACCTATTTTGTTAACTGTGTTACTACAGTTTGGAAATCTATGGGTTTTGGAAATGGCATCCAAAATTTTCTTATAACCCAAGAAAAATTATGATTGCTGTGAAATGTGACACAGCCTACAATGACTGGCCATTTTGGCAGATTTCATAATTTACCAGTTATTATTTCAGGGATACTTTATTTCTGTACCTATGACAACTTATATAACACGGAACATGACACTTCATTGACAGAAAGCATTACAACACACTTCCTAAATTATTTTCACAAGTTAAAAGAAAAATGTATATTCTAACAGTGTCAGGAAAAGCTATACCAGCCATCCTTTAATTAGCTGTAGCTGTCTTCTAGACTGAAGTACCTCAAATACTTCAGAAACTTAAGACAAGGCACAAAGTATCCCAAATGCCTCAATATTTGGTACTGAGCAACCTCTGGAATGAATGTCATCTGTCATACAGACTGTACATGTTGGATTCAGTCACTGAGATTGCACTTGGACCAAAGGAAGGAGCATGAAGAAATAGTGTTGACAGCACAGAAAAGGGGTGGTGAAGTGAAGCACAGTCTCTGGAGGCACTGTTGAAGTAGTTCTGAACCAGGAATTCCTTCTGGGAGCAGTGTGGCTGGTCTTACAACCGTGTTGGGAGCACAGCAAACTCTGGGGTACAAAATCTCTCTAATTTTCATCTCCATGATCTCTTCTGAGCACAGGACTATCATTGCAGATGTTGCTTGCACACATCAAAATCTGGTCCACACTCAATAAACATACATGGTGCTTTTCTTAATCATAAACCCTTTTTTGTGGACCAGCTGAAGAAAAAAAGCAAGAGGAGAGTGGAGATCTAGGAATCTCACCCACAGATCCTGAGGGAGCTGGCGGATGCAGTTGCTAAGCTTCTGTCCATCGTATTTGAGAGGTCATGGCAGTCTGGTGAGGTTCCCACTGTTTGGAAAAAAGGGAACATAGCCCCTATTTTTAAAAAGGGAGGAAAGGAAGACCCAGGGAACTACAGGCCGGTCAGTCTCACCTCTGTGCCTGGCAAGATCATGGAGCAGATCCTCCTGGAAAGTCTGCTAAAGCACATGGAAAATAAAGAGGTGATTGGTGACAGCCAACATGGCTTCACTGAGGGCAAGTCATGCCTGACCAATCTGGTGGCCTTCTACAACAAGGCTACAGAGATGGTGGATGGTGGCAGAACAGCTGACATCATCTACCTGGATTTTGCAAGGCATTTGACACTGTCCCACATGACATCCTGGTCTCCAAATTGACAAGGCATTAATTTGACAGATGGACCACTCAGTGGATAAGAGAATGGCTGGATGGCCACACCCAGAGAGTTGTGGTCAATGGCTCAATGTCCAAATGGAGGCAGTTGATGAGTGGTGTCCCTCAGGGGTCAGTGCTGTTTAACAACGTTGTTGAAGACATGGACAGTGGGATTGAGTGTATCCTCAGCAAATCTGCTGGTCGTGCCAAGCTGTGTGGTGTGGTTGGCACCCTAGAGGGGAGGGAGGCCATTCAGAGGGACCTTGACAGGCTGGAGAGGTCGGCCAAGCCAACCTCATGAAGTTCAGTAAGGCCAAGTGCAGGGTTCTGCACCTGGGTCTGCACAACCCCAGGCACAAACACAGGCTGAGGGAAGAATGACTGGGGAGCAGTCCTAAGGAGAAGGACTTGGAGGTGGTAGTTGATGAGAAGCTCGACATGAGCCACCAGTGTGTGCTGGAGCCCAGAGAGCAACTGCATCCTGGGCTGCATCAAAAGAAGTGTGGCCAGCAGGGCCAGGGAGGTGATTCTGCCCCTCTGCTCTGCTCTGGAGTCCTGTGTACAGTTCTGGTGCCCTCAGCACAAGAAAGATACAGATCTGTTGGAAAGGGTCCAGAGAAGGGCCACCAAGATGATCAAAGGCCTGGAGCACCTCTGCTATGAAGACAGGCTGAGAGAGTTGGGGCTGTTCAGCCTGGAGAAGAGAAGGCTCCGGGGAGACCTTATAGCACCTTCCAGTACCTGAAGAGGGCCTACAGGGAAGCTGGGAAGGGGCTTTTCATCAGAGAAGATAGTGATAGGACAAGGCATAATGGTTTTAAACTGAGAGAGGGGAGATTTAGGTTAGATATTAGGAAGAAATACTTCACTATCAGGGTGGTGAGGAACTGGAATGAGTTGCCCAGGGAGGTTGTTGATGCCCCACCCCTGAAGGCTTTTAAGGCCAGGCTGGATGAGTTTTTGTGCAATCTGGTCTAGTACTAAGGTTTCCTGCTTATGGCAGGGGGGTTGGAACTCGATGATCTTTAAGGTCCCTTCCAACCTTAATGATTCTATGATTCTATGAAAAGACTAAAATCCTTGAGTAGAGATAGACCTATGTCACAAAGAAGGTAAAAAGCTGCTGCAGAGAGGAAACAAATAATGTTTCTCTACGCTGATAGCAGGTATGACAATAGGCGATGATTTCTTTGCAATAGGGCACATGTCGGTCACATGTCAAAGAGAAACATAACGTAGAGGGCTGATTAAATATGGAGATCACCTATGGAAACATTGAAATCATCATATTAGGACAGTTTTAGGATTGACAGCACAAGCATTTCTTGGTAAAACTGAGCCTGCAGTACAATGAAGATCAAGTAGATGACCTTGCTTTGTCCCTTTCAATCCTATTTATTGTTGCTACTGGCTTAGCTTGCTTGCTTCCACGTTTTTCCAAAAGACCTGAATGCTTCATGGAAGTTCTCCCAGGAACCTACTGTCTAATTTTATTTTGCTTGTCTGTTGTTCTTCGAACACTTCTTCCACTGCCACATCATTCATTGCAGATACACTAGAATTGAAATTTCTGCTTTCCTTGAAAAAACATTACTACAACAATAGGAAAATATTTAAATTCTGTTATTGATTCACTGACCTATTCCCTTTTGCATTACTGCTGATTCCTTTGTCTTAGTGGCTTTCCTGTAGCTCTTAAGAAAGCCATTTAGTTTTACCTGGAACAGCATAGTGTCACTAAGGGAATTAATTGCTTGTTATCAGTTTTGGCTCTAAATCCCAAGGCTTGAGAACTTTTTAAAATAGTAGTGAGAAAGTCTTACCACTGAAATAAACCTTTTTAGGGCTTCACCGTCACTCACTTGATAGCTTGAATAAGTAGTACATTGTTTTTCAGGCAAAGAAAGCTGTTTTGAGCGTATAGTGTCCAGATTTGGCACTAACATAACTTATGTTGTGATTGGAGATGGCCGAGATGAGGAACATGCAGCTAATCAGGTAACTTCACTCTGAACTCTTATCTCATTTATCTTCCAGGAAAAGAAAGTTGCTTTGAACGAATAATGCAAAGGTTTGGCAGAAAAGTAGTATATGTTGTAATTGGGGATGGTGTAGAAGAAGAACAGGCAGCAAAAAAGGTAACCTGTCTCCTGAAATGTTGGTGTGATCCATAGCTACTAATGGAAGCCTTTCTGTTTGCATTTCTGTCCATGTGGTGCAGTGACAGAATGACAAATAATTTCAGTACATAGATGCAAGGCAAAAAGAGCATGATGAGAGCAAAACTTAGAGTAAAATGAACCATTTGGATTCTAGCATTTGGTTCACTTCTGCTGGAAAAGGAAAACAAAAGCATTTTAAAAAATAAAATAAATGAAAAATTGTTGCAGCAAGAATGTCTGACTAGCTTCAACTAAGGATAAACAGAAGAGAGAAATATGATAGTTGAGTGGGGGTTTTCTTTGAATAGGGAAATCAGGGAGTTTTCGACAGATATGTTACAAAGAATGTGGAAAAATATCTCAAGGATTGTGCCATGATTTTGCTAACATAGATGAAGATCTGTAGCTCACTGGAGCAAATACAAGGAACATATAATTTGCTTCAAGAAAGATGTATCTGCACAAGGACAAAGAACATAACACAGAGATTATGCACCAAAACTGTGTTTCTAAAAATGAAATGTGTATTTAGAAGCATTCCATTTTCTCTTTATAATAATTCAAGTTGAAATTTCACCAGGTAAATTTTCAATGTTCAGAAACAGAGAAAATTGGTAATTTGCACCATACTTCCCAGTATAAGCTTGGAAGTGTGCAGAAACAGACAATGTTAGCCTCACAACATCTGCACAGGACAGTTGATGTAAATATCATTGTGTTAGGAGTAGCAAAAATGAAGTACCCTTTTGGTGGTGTAGCTAGGATGGAAACAGAATGAAAATAACCAAAATGCTCATTCCAAATGGTTCTTTAATATAGGTTCAGTACTGGTGATGGGTTTTCTATAGTTTGTGCTAAACAAGGTGGTTGGATTGTGTCCTTTCCAGTTTGGCATGCTTTTTTCTTAACGTTGGCTATATTGCATGGATAAAGAATTCAGAGAGATGGATGAATACAGAACATTATAAATAGATCTGAACACACTATGGAAGTATAGGGTTTTTTTCTATCCTGATGAAGTGCTGAAGGAGAATAGTGCATATACCTGCATCTCTCTCACACACGGATGCTTTCTGCAACACAAATTGTGCAGAAATGCACAATTTTCTTATCCATAGAGATTTCCTTTTCTCCCATTTGTATGGAGGAAAATGTCATACAACTCTGTTTCAAAGTGTTCTGTGTGAAGTCGTTTTAAATGAAGGTCTTACAGCCCTTTAAATGACCAATCAGTGTTTTTCAAAGTCTAACAAGGAGACCAGAAAGGGATTTCCTATTAATGCTCCTTTGTGCGGGTTCGCATGCTAACAATAAAGCCAATAGCCCTTTCTAAATAACAAGCTCTTTCCAAAGAAACTACTAAGAAAGACTATCTAATTACTTGAACTGAAGTTGAACTATTAAGCTCAGATCTATTTTGGTCTGATTTTTGTCAGTACTTTGCTAGCAAAAATCAATCCAGAAAGACAGATGTGTAAAGGACGTGATGGAAATCTGACTAGTCTCCTGTGTCACCGTGTTCATCTTTCCTGACCTTTTCCCCCCTCTAACAAACACAGCACAACATGCCTTTCTGGAGGATATCCAGTCATTCGGACCTCTTGGCTCTCCATCAAGCACTGGAACTAGAGTATTTGTAACTGTGTTCTAAAGTTGGCGATCCTTTTTTTTTTATTTTATATATATATATATTTCAAGTACACTGAATTTTTATGTGTGATTCGATGCCTCTGGCTTTACACATATGAATTGTCTTAAGAAGGGAAGAAATATTTGGAGTTAAAAATTCCAAATGGAAGAATTCAGATTGCTGAATGGAGTTAAAACGTTAGTGCTACGTAAGGAAGCTCTATGGTCTTATATATGCAACGTTTTTAAATGAATTCAAACTGTGGAGGTTGCTGGTACACACCAAGTGAGCCCTGACAGGAGTGAACAAAGGACTCAAACTGGCAAAGCACCAATACACATTTTCCAGCCGACAAGGTGGTGTTCAACAACATTCCTCAAAATGGGATATATTCTCAGCACTGAGGTTTGAACCCAACTTTAGCCTACCTAACCCAGAAAATCTGAATTGGAATGCACTCAGACTGTATAATGACAATCCTGTCTAGATCTGTAATTTGTGTAAATTATTGATGAAAATAATTTACTGTGACTTTATTAGCAGCTGATTTTGGAAGTGGATGCAATTTTTCTTTCTTTTTGGGGGGCAGGGGAGGGAGAGGGTTATATAATATTGTCTCTTTTATAAGTTTGGCAAACAGAATGTGCATAATGATGTGTTGTGCCTTAAAGAGAAGACTGTGTTCGTGTGTTATAATGTAATTTTGGTTAAAAACTATGTAGATAAAAAAAAAAACAAACACAAAAAACCTTTGTGATAATTTTTGACATGACCAAATTTGAAATTCGAAGAAATCTAAGAGAAGGGCTGCACCGAAGCATTTAAGTATTTGTTGCAGTAAGAAAAAAAAATAATAAAGGAAAGCTTGTGTTTTTATTTGGATTCTGAATGATTCCATTGATGGTTTGAGGAAAATTAAGAGTATGTTGGGAGGCTGATACTGGGGACTGCTCCTGGAAAGCTAAAAAAAAAAAAATGGGTTTAACACCTTCAGCATCGTTTTTTGATTCTCCAATAAGAGAACTAAGAGCCATATTAGTGAATTACTTAGTCCACTGAAAGCCATACAGTGAGTGCATCTGCTGTGTATAAAAGAACAAATTCCCACCCAACAGACAAAGTGAGCAGGTGGTGTTACTGAAAGGTGAAACTGTGGAGTTAAGCCCAGGTGGGGAATAAAGGTCATTAGGAATGAAAAATTACTGAAGAATCTCTCACCCATCAGATGCACAAATGATGCTACATTTAGCAAATTCAGGATCAACACAAGCTGCTGAAATTGCTGGCATGATGGCATTGCCCCTTTCAGGAGCACAGTCCACTCTGGTAAATAGAACAGTCCTTTGGTAGCTCTTCCATTCTGTTCCACATGTATGTGTCTTCTGGTTTGGGTCAAGATGATTTTCCTTACCCATTTTTTATTTCAGAGCAATATTGCACAGGAGCAACCCTGATCAGAATTTTCAATAGCATGTCAGGCATCTGAGGAGAGGATAAGGAGGGATTTTTTTAAGAAATATTAAGAAACACATTAACTTAATTTTCATCATTTCTAGTCAAAATTGCAGTCCATACAATTATAATTGCCTTGCAAGTTTTGAACATGCTACCCTTCACCTTTGGAAAAAGAACAGCGTCCATATTGCACACAGGGTCTCATGCTCCATGTGCAGCTCGAGTACTTTGAAACAACAGCAAGTGGTTCATTTCTCATGGCAGAGGATGCTTTTTGATTTTTAAGACTGTACATGGAGACATCTGAGGTTGCCAGTGCTCTGACAGCATGAAGAGGTGTGTGCAAGAGAAATTGTTAAATGTGAGTTCCAGGATGCCAACACAAGCGCTGAGGTCTTCCCTCTCTGTGCTGTGGAGCCACCATATGTCTAGTTACCACATAGTAACTTTGTTGATTTAAACTTTGTAGGCTATATGACAGTTAGTTGGTATGTGAAAGCCTGGAGTCACTAAAAGTCCAAGGCAGAATTCCTCCATGAATTCATTAAAATGGGATTTCTTTGCTGTGTTGGAATCAGATACACAAGTCACCACTCAACAAACTAATGGTAACTTGTTAATCCTGAGCATTTTAAAGCCACCACACAAAACTTGCCTTATATGAAATCATTATACACTAACTATTTGGGTGATAGATTTGCGTGTCCAAAAAGTAAAAATTATGCGTATCTTTATTTTATTTACAGTACCTGTCTAGTCAAATTTGGCCTGCAAGTACATTTTTCACTACAAGCTGTAGTACCAGCTTTTCTGTAGTTTTTTCAGGTGGGAAAAATGTGTTTCTATTGACAGAGGAAAAAAGCTCAAACAAAGCCCTTCTCAAGTTCCAGCATCATAACAATGCATGAGAATCTCAACGTAACAACCTTTATAAACCGAAAAATGTTATGATGAACTAGTTTGTTTTTTTTGCTTTTCTTTCTTTTTCCAGAAAGTCATAATGTTATTTAAATGCATGAAGCTATATTATTTCTTAAGTTATTTATTCAGCTTTTCAGTGTTCTTTTCCTAATCAGATGTAAGAACAAGCAATAGCCCAGCAACAGCTGGGCTTTTAAGAGTTTTGCAGTGCCTTCATTGGAGCTGTGCTTATCTCTGTGGCAGGTATGGCTCAGTTAACATACTGGACTTCGAGAAAGAGAGACAGCCAAAAGAAGGGAAGTTTTACAGAACATGACACAGTTCTGATTTTAACTTGGATTCTTTATGCTACCATAGCAGAAGTTAATTATCAAAATAAATAATCCAGAAAAATGTACATCCAAAGAAATGCAAGGATTTAGCTCAAAAGCCTTCTCAATACTAAAATTCTAAAAGAAATGTGCAGAGCACAAATAGTCCTTGCTAAGCAGAAATTATTGTTTATCTTTAAATAAAAGCGTGTAGTACTTGCCTGCCTTGTAGGGAGAAATTACTCTGATACATTTCCCTGCATGAACCGTACAGAGGAGAAAATAACCAAAGCATAGACACAGTCATGCCAGACTGTTCCAGATGGGCTTAAGTAGATTAAACTGGAGGCTGGTCATTTTGACACTGAGTGCATTTTAATTCAACTGCACACAAATCAGAAACTGCCTTCCCTTCTGCCTCTCTTAACCAAGATGGAGCACAATGGAATGTTTGCAAGAACTTTAGGCAAATGACATATAGAATAGGAAATAATGCCTTTTGCTGACACTCTAGCAGTTTTCAGTCAGTAGAGAACTTGAATGTTCATTAGGCATTTGAATAGTCAGTTTGCAGAATGCAAATACAGTGTGATCACAGCCACAAGGTAGCATCTTAAATAGCTAGAACTCTGCAGTTCAGTAATTCATGAAAAAGCAAAAATTATGCTTCTTTCTTGATGCCTGTGGAGACTGTGCACAAAGACATAGGTGGCAACCAGCTCCCAGATCTTTCATTAGAATCCAGTGTGAGCAGCAGTGTTTGCTTCTAAAGCAGCTGTGGAGTGTGTTCCAGTGCAAACACTGACAAGGGAGATGTGGCCAAATCAAAATCCTGTATGCAAGCACACTTCCTTGGGGCAGATGAAATCTTGCAGCCAACTGGAATTGCAGACTTTATGGAGAACATGGAATTGCCCACAACAGGAAGACTAGACTTTAGCTATGAGGTTGTACCCAGATCCAGGGTTTTGGTTCAAAAGTCATCTCTACTTTACTGGTTTGATGCCAGGCATATGCTCTGTAATGAATATGGTATTTAGCATCTCTGAAGAAGAGCTGAAGTGACATGAATCAAAGTCCCAGCAATAGCAGCATTTTGGACATATAATTGAAGCCAAGGGTGTCTGTCATGTATCAGCAGATTGTAGTTTATTAGGGCCTACATAATTTAAGAAAATGGAAATTAAAATTAAAAGCTTGTAAAATTATGTACATCTTTACTATTTCTCAATAAACACATTTGGAAGTGTCATTTTCTGCACTGTACCGTATTGTAAAATGTTTGGTTTGTGGTTGAAATGCTCGGCATGTAGTATCTCTCATGGAAACTGAGTGCAACCTTGGACTTTATTTATGTCCATGCTGCCTTGTGTTCCCTGCCTGGAGCAATCCTGTGCCCATGGGATCTGGTAAAGGCTGGCTCACTGCCCACCCTCTGCCACGTGGAACCACTAGCAGAACCTCCCTCCAGATGCAGCCTAAGCAGCAACTAACACCTTTGTTCTGGTGTCCTTGGGACAAAATGCAGAATAAACCAATGTGATGGTTTAGACACAGTGTATTCATTTAAATTCCCTACCAATTCACTGACTAATGTTATGTTAATAGCCTTCCTATGGACTTGGGTTGTTCAAGTGACAGACTGGGCTACTGAAGGGAGGCAGCCGTTCCAACCAAAACTCATGAAACTTTGGTTTTGGGAGCAGGGCTTCATGTCTTAATGAGATACTGACCTTTGTTTGAGGGAAGCATTACCCCCACAGTCTGCTTGCACAGGCTTTAAGACAAAAGTGGGACCACAGGACCATCAGCACACTTAGACATTACGACTTAAAACATTATGATTTTGGGAACAACACAGCAAGTGTTAGAGCCTTGGTAACCACAGCACTTCAACCACAAGAGTCAGCTTGCAAACAGCAGATTTTATTTTTTTTTCCCAGGAGTTAAATTAAGGCATGTCTGTAACAAAGGTAACTGTTCTTTATGTGCATTTGCCTTCTATTCCAATTTTAGGAATGAAAAGGAAGATTCAACAAAAATAGAGGGGACAAAATATCAAGGTGGCCCATCTAGTGAGCCAACAGATCCATAGTAAACAGTAGTTTTAACATTGTGTCTCCCAGAGGGGTTTACATGTGACTCTAGAGGAGAAACTGTTCAATACTATTTCAGGAGACTGAGAGAAAAGGTAGTCAGAAAACGGTTTTCCTTCCCATTAAAACTTTGGCAAATTTCAGAACATTTCCCTTTTCACACAAGGATACAAATGAGATATTGGGGTTTTTTTTACTGAAAAGCTTTTGTCTGGGTTATAGCACAG